TTCAATAAAGCTGTTTAAAAATTGGTGCTGGAAGCCCTGGACTCCACATATAAAAGAATGTAAGTTGAATTCTTACTGCACAGCATGTTCAACAATTAACTCAAAATGGATTTAAAGACCTAATAAGAGCTGAAACTCCCAAACCCTTAGACAAAAACATAGAAGTTAACCGTCATGGCTTTCAATATGGCAGTGGTTTCTTAGATATAACACCAAAAATAAGCAACAGAAGAAAAAATAGATAAACTGGACTTCAGAAAAATTAAGTTTTTATGCTTCAACAGATGCAATAAAGAAAGTGAAAACAGAAGTACAGATACATTCCATACATTGTTAAACCTTGAGCCCGGCCGGGCGTGGCTCAGTGGTTGAGCGTTGACCTAGGATCCAGGCGATCGGGGTTCGATTCCCAGTCAGGGCACATGCCTGGGTTGCGGGCTGCAGCTGATCCATGACTCTCTCATCATTGATGTTTCTACCTCTCTCTCCCTCTCTCCTTTCCTCTCTCTGAAATCAATAAAGACATACTAAAAAAAAGAGGAGATACAACCTTTAAAAAAAAACAAAAAACTTTGAAAATATGCTCGGTAAAAGAATTTCAGATACAAAAAGCTACATATTGATTGAATGAATCCATTTTTTGTGAAATAGCCAGTATAGGTAAATCCATAGAAAGAGAAAGTAGATTCGTGTTCACCAGGGGCTGTGCGTAGAGAGGACTAGGGAGTGTGACTGCTGCTTGGTGTGGGTTTTCTTTGGGGGTAATGAAAATGTCCTGCAATTACAGTTGTTATGGTTGCATATCCTTGTGAATATTACTAAAAGCCACTGAATTGTTCACCTTAAAGGGGTGATTTTTCTAGTGTGTGAATTATATCTAAAAAAAAAGAATATATAATGAAAAAAATATGCTGAAAACCAGTTACCATTTGGAAGTAAATTATCCCCAAGGAACATCTGTGGTTTTAGATATTTGGAAATTATATTGGTGATCCAATTGTTTAAAGCTCCACAGAAACCAGTTGAGGAAGTGAGAAGAGTCCATTACCCATCTTGCTTTGGTTAGGAGTAGAGGGTGTGATTCAGTAGCAGTTTCTGTTTGTTTCTCTGAGCCTAGCAAAGCTAAGATGGTTGAATCATTTTTATACCTTTTGGAATAAATTAATTGCAAAGAAATGTTTCAATTTACATCATTTTAAAATAAATTGTATTTATTTTGAATTGTTTTTATATTCATATAATTCAAAATGCAAAAGTTGTCCCCAGCCCTCCTCCTACCACTACCACCCTCTTTCCCTACCAGGAGTTAACTGATGTTGCCTTTTTTTTTTTTTTAAAGAAAATAAAAAACTTTTGGGGGAAAGTAGATGGTATTTGTAAACCCACTTCTGAGTTCTGTAGTTGGCCATTAATTGAGACAAATGAGTCTTCTAAAATTTTTTCGTTGTCTTTAATTTTTTATTCCTGTTACACAATGGGGCCTTTGTCCAAGGACAAGGAACCTCCATAATGAATACTGAATATGCATTATTAGACCTAAGGCTTGTGTTTTTATTTCTATTTCAATTGTAGGTGATAGTACCTTCATAATAACTGGTGATTTCCTGCTCCTCTTCCTTTCCCTCGTCACTGCTTTGGATGACAGTTTTACTTTTACTTCAGTATTCCTCTTCTGCCTCTTACACAAAACTTGGTATTTTCTATGCAATTTGCAATCTTTGCAAGATAAATGCAAGTTGTTTGCATTGAGTTAATATATTCTTCCAAATATAATTTTTCTTAGAGAATTAAAAACATTTTAGTTAACACCCTTTAATTTACCTAAACATGAATAATTTATGGTGCTCTAAGAGAGGCACTCAGGTATGCATGGGGAGTCTATTTTTTCCTGAATAATTTCTTAAGCCTGATTTTGGTGCAACTTTTGTCGTAAGAATTTCATACTAGCCTCTAAACAAAAGAGTTTTGTTTTTTTAATCCTCACTCGAGGATATTTTTTCCATTGCTTTTCAGAGAGTGTGGAAGGGAGGGAGAGAGAGAAACAGAGAGAGAAACATCGATGTGAGAGACACATTGACTGGTTGCTTCCTGCACACGCCCCAACCAGGGCCAGGGATTGAGCTGGCAACTGAGGTACTTGCCCTTGACCAGAATTGAACCCAAGACCCTTCGGTCCGAGGTCCAACACTCTAACCACTGAGCCAAACCAGCTTGGGCTAAATGAAAGAGTTTTATAGAAATATACTCTTAGTTGTTCTTTTTAAAAACATTTTTCATTCATCTTCCTTGCTGCCTGTTGGTTTAATTTAATTTTCTTTATTCCCTTTTTCACTCTTCTGTTTTGGAAGCTTTATATCGTTTTCTAGTCTCCTACCATTACCCTTAAATTTTTAACATGTATTCTTAAAATCTAGGATTTACCTCTTTCTCTATATACATTCTAAACAAGACCAAGGATCATAGAATGCCTCAATTACAAACTCCCATCCATATTACTGTTTTCTAGTATTTCAGGTCCACTGTTTTTTGGTGTGTGCATATGTATGTGTGTGTGTGTATGTGTGTGTTTGTAACTGTGTCTGAATAGTAATACATTCTCATGGTACAAAATTCAAAAGGTACAAAAGAGACTAGATCTTAGTTGCTCTCACCACAAAAAATAAGTGATGAGGTAGAGGTCTTAGTAATGATGGAAGTCATATTGCAATATAAAAAAATGTATCAAGCCAACACTTTGTACACCTTAAATTACACAATGTTATAAGTGAGTTACATCTCAATTTTTAAAAAAGGTATATAAAGTTATATTGTGAAAAATTCTTTTTCTCATGCGTATCCCCTAACCACTCAGTTCTCCTCATCAAAGGAAACCACTGTTTCCATGGGATATATTTGGTTGATCTATATGAAATTGTCAATATTCACCTACTTTGATATGCAGCAATGGCAATTCCACGCATTTCAAACTAGTATCAGTGAAAAAAACAGATTCCTGTTTTCATGGAATTTTCATTCTAATGTATTAGTAAATGATTGCAGTATAACAGATTACTCCAAAAATGTAGTGGCTTAAAACAACAAGCATTTATTATCTCAGAGTTTTTGCGGATCATGAATTTGGGAGTGATTTAGCTGCGTGATTCTGGCTCAGGATCTCTGATGAGGTTGTGGTCAGTATGTCGGCTGGGGCTGCAGACATCTAAAGGCTTAACTGAGTCTGAAGAATCAACTTCCAAGACAGTTCACTCACCTGACTGTTGGCAGGAGGCCAACACACATGAACCACACATGAACCTCTTCGTAAGGTTGCTTGAATATCCTCATGACATGGCAGGTGACTTTCCTCGGATTGGCTGATTCAAGAGAGAGGACAAGGAGGAAGCCACAGTGACTTTTCCCTCCCTCTTGCAGTGCCTTTTATGGCCTAGTCTTGGAAGTCACACCTTGTTGCTTTTACCATATTCTATTTGTTGGAAGCAAGCCACTGAGTCCAGGCCACACTCAAGGGGAAAGGAGTTAAATTCCACCTCTTGAAGCGAGGAGTAACAAAGAATTTGTGAACATATTTTTTTCTTTCTTTTTTATTTTTTTAATCTTTATTTATTTTTTTTAATTTTAT